CTTGATTTCAACAAATGGAGTCTGGTGGTTTTCTTTCCTGATTTGTGAATGAAGAAGGGCTGACAGATTGAAAGTGTGTTATGTAACACAATTTTAAAAATAACACAAACACCAAGAAGCATAATTAAAATACAAAATGTAAATGTTGTATAATTATAATAGGAAAAAATAAATAGCAATTAAAATACAAGACACAAGTGAATTGCAACCATTACATTGAAATTAAAGCTAGCAGCATCTAATAAGTCCCCAAGTATTCTATCGAAGATTTCCATCTTAAAATACTCCCAGAATATTGAGAGATGATGCAAGTCTTAATTCCACAAGAAGTCTATTTCATAAGGCTGGAGCAATAATTGAGAATCAGTGCCTCCTGACCTCCATTTCCCTAAGCTTGTGAAACTGGATTTCACTGGTAGGTTTTTCCAGAAAAAGTGTAGATGGGTTAATTCATGTAGGTGAGGGCAGCACTGCAATTACCTGTGTACCAAGCCATATTGGGTTTTGTAACTTAAAACCAAGACTTTGGGTTGCAACGGGAAACCTACATAAGGCAGTCAGAGAAGGTTGCACACCATCAGACATCATCATATTGAACGCAGGCAAAAAAAACCTGTTTTATTCATCTGATCTAGATCTTGTAATTCTGATGTTTATTTTAAATCTTACTCACTACAAGCATGAAAAGGAGGAGGAACAGGATGAAACTGAATATAAAATTGAAGGATCGTTGACAGCTGTGGTCTTGATATAGACTGCTGTTCTATGTGATCTCTAGCTCAAACTAGCAGTGGCTGAATATACCTTTTACCAGTTTAAGGATACAGTGAACCTAAACAATTGTAATTCATCTATTTATAACATAACCTCAAAGTTGTTTCACATGGGCAGCCAGATAATCGAAAGCTTCAGCGGTTGCAGACACAACAGCACAATTCTTTCCAAGGAGGTACTAAGAAAAAGCACAGTACCACCTCACTTTAACAATCTAATTGTGGAATGTGTGCTCATTATTCATAAAGTCTATCAAACACTGGGACAAACTGATTTCTAGCATTTACATGATTATGTTATCAGGCAAATGATCTGAATTTATGCAACTGACATAAATCACTAGTGCAACGTGATTGATTGCATGTGAACCCTGTTGTACTGAAATTCATTAAATTGAAGTTTCCTTGGATTCTAATAGTCTAGCACCTGAACTGGAGCCCTATTACTGTCTGGGCGCTATTCTAAGAGCTGGTTAGAATTTCTCTGAACGTGTCTCTTTTTTCTTTAATTTTTAAAGTACTATTGAACAATGAAAGATGACCTAGCTTAGCCATCTTCTGCAATCTGGCTCACAGTGGAACAGAAAAGCCACATAAATATTTTTTTCAGAGGCTGAGGAAATACAACTGGCCTCCCTTACCCAAGGGAATTTGAACCAAGGTTTTAGTGACTCACAGATAATCACCACCACACTGTATCATATCATGCCTTATGAATGCTATAGAAATATTTCATAGGCCAATGAATCACTGAACATAGATTTCTGAGTGTGCTGACACGTGAACTTCCTGAGAGAAAGGGGAGGACAATGCCAAGATGGATATCAGCTCTTTGAGATAGGTAGAGTCAGAAAAAGGAGTCACTAGAGTCTCGGAATGCACCTGAATGCTGTTAAACTATTGATACATAATCTTGAATGCCTGACAAAGTATCTTTCCAGTTTAACTTATCCCTAACACAATCAAGGTGGAGGTGCTTTGCATTTTTTCTGGTGCTTTTTCAGGATTTATCTTTTTTATTACTGCTCAGTATTTCTTTCTGAGTCAAATTTTATCACATCAAGCAACATATGAAGGAGCACAGTATGCTATTGTCAATCACTCTCTACATTTAAGCATCACCAGCTCCATTTTTGAGCAATGGGTCAATAAAAAGATCAGCACTAGGCAACATCAACAAATGACTATATAGCAACTTTTATTGGTTTGAAGGGCTGAAGTATTTAATATACAGAACTAAAAAGTCTTGCTTTTTAAAACTGAACAGGTGGGTTAGTCTGATGAGGCTAACTTTGGCAGTGTCCCACAAATGGCAAGGCTAACCTTCTAGGCAGGGACTTCTACAATTTCAAAATAGTCATTAGGCAGAATCACATATCCACCTTTGCCTGACAACACGTCTTTTTCCTTCTGAAACTGAACAAGCTCTCGTAGTTTTTCAATCTGTTTCTCCTGACGCCTACATCGCTGCTGGGCAGTCTTAAGTTTCTTCCTCAATTTATCCACCTGCTCTTCCAGTTGCTGAATTCTTTTTCTCTGATGCACAGTATCCTCTACAGTATAGTTGTGATCACAAAACACCGCAATATTATTGGGAGTGTGAAGTGGTGGCATCAATAATCCAATGCTTGGATCTACCAATCTTGGGTACGTTTGAGGAGGTGGTGGAGGTGAAGGAGAAGGGGGCGTTGGTACTTCAGGTGGTTCCTGTGTGCCTTCAGACTAAAAGCAAAACAAAAAGATATACTTTACATTTGTTTTGTTCAAAGGTAACAATACATTTCAGGTGACAAGCAAGATCATTTTTCTTCTTCAAAACTTCATGCTTCGAGAAAATAATAATTTCATTATTTTATTTGCATTAAAACAAGCTTCAAACAGAGGTAGCAAAACCTTCAGAGGAACAATATGTTTAGTCAGTTAAAGGCTTTGCAAATGAACAGAATAGAGAAGTCTGCTCTCACAGGGATCTTATCATACCTGAGTTCACCTTGAAAATATTGAATGGAACTGAATAAACTGATATAAGTTCAAGATGCCAGTTGTGTAAAAAGGGGAAATTTAGTAACATATGTGCTATAGAGTCATCTTTGGTATCTGAGAATCCAGAGACACAATCCACAAATTAGAATAATTTGTTACCACTGAAGACAGATCATTCGTTTATACCTGTGTAAATGTTATTCCACAAAGAGCATGAAGGATTATAAAATTATCTTGAGATAACAAAAGAAGCACCTTCATGTTCACAGCTGCAACGATATGAAATACTCCATCACTTCAATTCTACCATGTACAAGAAGTCTTTGACTTACAACAGTTCATTTAGTGACCATTTGAAATTATGGCACTAAATAAAGTGACTTAGGGCTTTTTTCTCACTTACAACCGTTGCAGCATCCCCATGGTCATCTGATCTAAATCCAGATGCTGGGCAACTGACTCCTATTTATGACAGTTGCAGTGTTCCATGGTCACATGATCACCTTTTATGACCTTCTCACAAGCAAAGTCAATGGGGAAGCCAGATTAATTTAACAACTGTGTTACATATATAAACTTTATTTACAGTCACAGACCAAAACACGAGTACTACAAAAGAGACTAGGAGCTTTGTCTTAGAATAATTATGTTCCCTAAAGCAAGAGGTCACTAATGCTCCTAAACATCTGAAAATGATAACTTTAAATAAATAGGATAGCAATACTACCTGTATAAGGAAGGAATAATAGGCCAGTGGATGAGAGATTGGAAATAAAATTTAGATTTAGTATCTTTGTTTCACCTAAACTAATTCTATTACAACAGAAATGAATTTCCGTAGTTCTAATTCTTTAATTGATCCTATTAGATTTAGGTGGTACCTATAAAGCCTCATTTTTCCCTTTTATTTATTTACTCTATTGTTCTTTTCTACTAAGCCATTTAATGTTGATATTCCTACAACTGCTTTTAATGTTTTCCAACATATGTGAATGCTCACAGATTCTTCAAGATTATTCTCTAAATAATTACAAAATGCTTTAGGGATTGTTTCTCAGTAATTCTTACTGGACAAAAAAATAAGATTAAATTTCCAGCTCCAGCTAGAGTTTTCCTTTTGTATAAACAACATATATCATAATAGGAGCAAAAACTATATATTTAATTCAGCCTAGAGGTCTTTGTTATAAATTCCAGTAGAACATTAGAAACCAGAATGTAATCTATTTCATTGAAGCAGTTAGGGGCATTTGAATAATTTATTATACAGTTATATTTTTGTAAACATACTCCTTCATCTTACTGTAAGACTGGGACTTACCTTTAAGATTTTTTTTGAAGGAATATGAACATTTGATAATTCTAAATTCCAACTGAAATCTCTACCAGGTCAAGAATATCTGCAGCTACAGTCACTGGCTTCAAAATTCACTTGCCCATCTTGCAGTCAATGACCATAGTTGTGGCTGCCCCACCACAAGTCATCTTTCAGAAGAGACTTAATATCTGATGAGATTTACTAAAGCAGAATATAAATCTAACAAATAAATACACCTTCTGCTTACCTTTTGGAATACGTGGCCTTGAACAGGAAATATTCTCTTAAACAATCTAGCAACCCAATATATTATATGACCCATAAAATGCATAGTTCATCAAATTTACTGTTAGGGCATTGTTTTTTTTTTAATTTCATGAGTTTATTTTTCAAATAAGATTAGATTCTGTCTTTTAACAGTATTGTGCACTCTTTTAACACTGAAAGAAACCCCTCTGGCACTCAGGAAGAGCCTTAAAACCAGGCTGTGCTGGTTGACATGGAGCTCTGAAGAAGAAACTGAGAGTGCAGGTGGCTGGTGCAGTGCCAGAAGAAGGCACCACTCCATTCCAAATCCGTGATCTGTTCTTAATCTTTTGTGATTATAATCTGTGATTGTATAACTAAATGTTTTTATAGCTCCATATTTTATTACAGTGTGAGAAGCCAAGAGTCACCTCAAACTGCAAGATGAGTGGTATATAAATTTAATAAATGAATAAAAAATTGCTCTTGATCATTAATTACAATTGTTTGAAGTACATAGTTTGTACTATGATTATTTTATATATCTTAAGGATTTTGAAACTGTTCCATCACTACTAAACACAAAAACCATTTTCCCTCCTATTTATTTTAAAGTACATTGCCATTGAAAAGAAACAAAAGTTTATTGTCTAAAACTGTATACCTATCTAGGACTAAAGCTAGACTATAAGTGCAACAGACAATATTGCCCATGTCTGTCAGATGCAAACAACCAGATCCAATTGAACATGAAGAATTCAATTAGCTACTTTATTGTTCGTGCGTATTTCACAGAAATCTTCCCAGATTGGCAGTTTGTACCAGAGCCAGATTAGACATAGTTCAAAGGCCTTCAAGGGGGTTGGTCCTTGCTCTCTCGTGCCTACATAATGATTCCAAACTAATTCCCCACTTAACTGCTCCCTCTGGTTTGGCCAATCTCTCTCCAACGAAGTCTTATTATATTACAACTTTTATATACATTTGAGAACAGATTTAATCTCCCCCAATTTGGAAGGTTTTCAAGAAAAATAATGAAGCATATGTTATCCATATACTATTCAATTCCTGCCCCAGTGTTACATATATTTTGTTTAACTGCTATTTTTTCAACAATCTTTGAAAACTTGTGAAACCTTATCTCAAATTGTAATTGATATTATTCTTATATGTGCTATTTGTATTTATATATACTAATTAATTACCATAAATACACTTGAATTGAACGGAAACAGATTTATAGATTATTAGTGTTACTACATCTCAGTTAAATGCTTCAGTAAATGAAGCACTAGTGACTAATCCATGAGTCAGTTAGTGATTATTATTTTTTCCACCCTTATCAGTTGCACTGAAAAGTTATTTTGAAATAACTTCATTAAAATGTGTTAAGATTAAGATAGCAAGATGGGTTTTTTCCTGCAAAAAAAGTCATTTGACTATAATTAATAGTTATAGGAGAGAATTTGGAACTGCAGCCTAGAAACATTCAATTTATGAATGTCTACATGATAGTAATAGAGGCTGATGAGCTCTCACCTCATCTCCAGGCTTGCTGTCTTACAGAAGTTGATTTTAACATGCATGTTAAATTCTATACTCCACCAGCAGTACTGAGGAGTTATTAGCTATGCTAAGTCCCGGTAGATGTAGCGAGTATAAATCCACAACAAATAAATACAGAAATGCAGTTGCTTTAGATTAAAAATGAGCTGATTACCATGCATTGAACAGCCTATCCAGTGGCAATCTTTCCATTAACTCATAAGAAAATCCCTAGTTGCAATTTTATATGCAGACCAGAAATACTGAGAGCCTTTGTTGTAATGAAGCCTTCATATTACTAATGCTACAGCATAAATTACAAGCCTAACCATTTAAAAGTGGATTATGATTATATTCATTACGCTTTATATCACCATTAAAAGAGCCAGTTTGATGCAATGGTTAAGACACCAGGCTACAAGCAGAGAGACCATGACTTCCAGTCATGCCTTAGGCCCAAGATGGCAAACCTATGGCATGCGTTCCACAGGTGGCACGCGGAACCATTTGTCAGGGCACGCAAGGCATGCGCACGCTGGCCAGCTGAGTCCAGCCTCCCCAGGTTCCGGAGCCTTTATAGGAGCCTGGGGAGAGCAAAAAGAGTCTCCCCTGCCCCCCCCACAGGCCTTCCAGAGGCTTCAGGAGCTTCCTTGAAGCCTCCGGAGTGCAAAAAAACGGCCCTATGGGCAAACCATAAGTTCGGGAACAGACTTCCGGTTTGCTTGTAGGGTCAGTTTAAGCCCTCTGGAGGCTTCAGGGAAGCCTCCTGAAGGTCCCTGAAACCTCCAGAGGGCCTCTGGTGGGGGAGGCTGTTTTCCCCCTGCCCAGGCTCCTATAAAGCCTCTGGAGCCTGGAATGGGCGAAAAAAGCATGCAAAAAATGGGGGGAGCACCTCTCATGCGCGCATGTGCACTGGGGGTCGTGTGCTGCATTATGGATGCGGCACGCCCATGCAGGGACCCCCTGCGCTCCCCCCTTATGGCATGCAAGCCAAAAAGGTTCGCCATCCCTGCCTTAGGCATAAAGCCAGCTGAGTGATCTTGAGCTAAACACTTTCTCTTAGCCATAAAAAGGAGGTAGTGGCAAACCACTTCTGAAAAACTTGCCAAGAAAACCGCAAGGATTTGACTAGGCACTCTCCAAGATTTGAATACAATTAAAGAGAAGAAAAATGAATAATTAATATACCGTATTTTCACGACCAAAAGCCGCACCGGATTAAAAGCCGCAGTATCAATTAACGTTAATT